CTCTCCCCGCCTCTTCCCACACCTGCGGGCGGCGCTATTTATAACTCGGCGCCTATTCCGCGCCTCCCTCCGGGCGGGCGCCGGCTGCCTCGCAAGGCTAATCGTCGCGGGGATCTCTGCGCCCCCCGGGGCCGGGGGAGATAAATTTAGCTTCAGGAAGTTCGGGGGAACATTTTCCAAAACTCCACGTCCCAGGGAAGGCGAATCAGAGAACCCTTCTGCTCTCAGCCTCCCTCCAGCCAGCCGCCAGGCGGCGCAGGTCCCCAAGTCCCTGGAACCCAGCTAAGAGTTTGGGGCGCTGCCTGGGAGCTGGGATAGGTGGAGGTGCAGGCGAAATATGGAAGGGTGCTGAGGGCTGGAGGTCAGAGCGTCCAGAGAATGGCCGGAAGAATGGGTGTGGGTGCGCCCGGACAGCCTGGCGTACGCAAAGCCTCAGCTGGGAGTAACTGAGAAAGGGGCTGCGACTTCTGCCTTTTGAAGGGGAAATATGTAACTCACATGCAAACGAGATGCAAATAAGAGCCTTGGCTCTTGGGGGGTCTGCGCTCTGGAGCTGGTGAAACGACCACTACATACCCCATTCCAACGGCCTTACTGGGAAAATGTGGGGCCCTCGCAAGATCATCACTATAATAATCCAGTTTATGGCGTGTGGCTCCCCAGAACACTCCGCTATGACCTCTCTCGTCCACCGGTCTTTCCTACACCATCGAGGGCCTTATATCCTAGGAAATCCGCTGGGAATTCTGGTGTCATGCCGCTCCTCCTCCTCAGGCGGGTGTCCTGTGGCCTGAGAGGGTCCCAGGGCGCAGAGGGGCAGGTGAGATCTTACCCATCCCGCCCTATTTTGGCACTTTATTCCCTTTACCCCTCCCCCACCAACCCTCTAGGTCAGTGGTTCTCAACCTTCCTAAGGCCGCAACCCTTTAATACAGTTCCTCACGTTGTGGTGACCCCCAATCGTAATGTAAATATCTGATATGCAGGATGTATTTTCATTGTTACAAATTGAACATAATTAAAGCATAGTGATTAATCACAAAAACAATATGCAATTATATATGTGTTTTCCGATGGTCTTAGGCGACCCCTGTGAAAGGGTCGTTCGACCCCCAAAGGGGTCGCGACCCACAGGTTGAGAACCGCTGATCTAGAACCACCTCCTTCCCTCCCTGCTCCAAGTCCCTTGCAGTGCGGACTTTTTCTGACATGGAGAACTTTTAGCCACAAGGCCTATTTATTATATCTATAGAGCAGGGGTTCTCAAACAGAGATATTAGCGGGCAGCCCCTTCCTGGCACTAAGAGGATACAGTGAGATCAACCATCTGGGCTGGTGGGCTCGCTGTGCCAGGCTTGGAGAAGTGCCAGGTCCTGCTGCAGGCTTGTTAGGGTCCTAGCCAGCAGGCCAAGGTCCCGCGCACCAGGGCTCCACCAGAGGTGGGGGCTGGAAGTGGAGGCCCAGAGATGAGGCAGGTCTGAGACAGACGGCACCGACCCAAAGCGGGGTCCACACTTCACTCCTTGTTTGTGGCACATCCTTGGTCAATGCAGCCGGCCCGGGAGTCTTGGTGGGGGTAGAGCTGGGCACTAAAGAGAATAGAAAGCTGGGAGACAGTCTCTGCCACAGCAGCAGCAGCAGCCTTGCCTCCTGTCTGCTTGTCCTGCCTTGCTCACCTGCACGAGGCCAGCTTCCTGCTGCCATTAATCCAGCAGCTCCTTGACACACCAGCAGCAGAGGAGGACGTAGAGGACCTCCCTCAGGGTGCGCTGCAGGCCCTCCCACCTGGTGCCCATCTTTACAACAGGCGCCCGGAGCCCAGCGTCTGGCAGGGCCCCTCTGAGGGAGAAAGGTAGGGCCTGGGCTAGGGGCTGTGTCCGGGCCTGCATGTGGGCAGCAGCTCTGAGGAAGGGTGTGGGAGCTGCCCCTGGTACCTTTTATCAACACTGTCCCCCCTCCTCCCCCCCAGGCTCATGACTACAGGGACAAAGGCCCCAGGGTCTGACACAGGGAAGGTTCTGGGCCTGAGAATGGGCTGAGTCAGCCCTCATGAAGGAGGGTGGGGTTAGGAGGAGGAGGATCTGGCCACTCCGTCTTTCATCCTCCACAGCCAGGCCAGCTCCGCTTCCCTCCCTCCAGCCTGAGCCTAGAAACCTTGGGTGCCCTGCCTGGTTGCTGGTACCCCCCGTGGTTGGCACAACTCCCTGCTTCTGCCCCCTGGTGGTTGGCATTCAGTCAGGATCACCCACGAGAGCTCCTTCCCAGCCCCTCAGGGGCCTGGCCCACTCTGCCTTCCCCATCCCCGTGGGAGCAGGAAGACACAGGCACGTGAGAGGAGAGGCACTGTTTATTGAGGTGACACCCCAGGGCGGCCTCCTTCTTTCTCTTCTGGAGTGGGCAGGCGTGGCGGTCACAGGCGCGAGTTCCGTTCTTCGTCTTCATTCTCAAGTAGGTAGGCCGGCCGGTAGGTGGGCTGTCCTCCCGGGCCCAGGTACTTCAGGGCTGGGTTCTGCACTGTGTTCTCCCGGCTCCCCAGCGACGTGTAGCTGGAGGCGGGAGAACAGAGGGCGGACGTGTGGTGAGGTGGCTCTCCCTATCTATCTCAGCACCTACATGTTTCCCCACACCCGTTCTCTTCCCATACCCTTACCCTCGGTCATACAGGATACAGTAGGGGACGAACAGCTGACGCAGGAAGTCCCAGATGTCTCTGTAGGTCCAGTCCTGGGAGGTCAGAGTCGGAGAAGGGTCACAAACACTGCCCTCTCCCACTCCACCCTCTGCTGCCTGGGAAGGGGCCCTCTCAGGGTTCGTCTGCTCCCTTGGCCTCGGGGGGCCTGCTATCTGATTGGCTGGTACACCTCACACTGTGTAGGCCAAGCAATGAGAAAGAGAGGCCTTCATCCTGTCCCTCTCCACTCCCAACCCACCCTCCCCTGGCAGGTCAGCTCCGGAGGACAGGAAGGGCTCTGTCTGTGTCAGCCAGCTGTCCAGCAGAACTTTCTGGGACGATGAAATGTTCTCTTGCTGTGCTAAGAGTGGTGGGCACTTCAACTGTGGCTGGTGCAACTGATGAACTACTTTTGAATTGTGTTTAATTTTTGAAACTGAGATATAATTCACACGCCACCGAAATCCATCCTTTTAAGCTGTGCAGTTCAGTCATTTGTACTTTATGCTTTGAGTGTAAGTAAATGGCTAACGGTTACCATAGTGGACAGCACGGGTCTAAGTTGTTCCGTCCATAGCCAAAAGCACAGTGCCTGCCACCGAATGAGTGCTCGGTAAACAGTGGTCCAAAGGCGGAATGAACAAACAGCACAGCCTTCTTTGGATGACGGGGCCCCTTCCTCCAAGCCCCAGGCTCCCATGTCCCTACCTCAGGAAGCCAGGGTGCAATGACTGACAGGGGGCGTGGACTGACGGCAGTCAGGCCTCCCTCTGCATTACCAGCAGCGGGTTGATGCGCATGAACGAGGGCCAGCCTGGGTCGGTGGGGCTGAAGGGACAGAGGCTGCAGGAGGAGGGGTCCGTGCGGCGGGTGCCCATCAGGGCAGCCTCCAGCTGGGGGTGCTGTGCCCGCAGCTGGCTCAGGGCCTTCTTCATCTCGCCCTCAGCCTCCAGCACCCGCAGATTGTACCTGAGGAAGGAAGAGGGCCGGGGGGTCACAAATGGGCTTCTCCAAACCCCTCTTCAAGCCCAAACCTTCAGGCCCCTAGTACCTCTTGATGGTGTCCTGTAGAAACTGCTCCAGCTCAGGGAAAGGGGAGATGCTGCGGATATACAGGATCTGGAGGGGCTCTTGAGTGCCAGGGCATTGCCTAGGGGGGGAGGGGGAGAAAACCACAGGCTGGCCGGCACGGGCAGGGGGATGCTCTCCAGGGAGCTTGCACTGTTCTCCTTGGCTCCTGGGATGCACACCCTTTCCTTGGCTTTCCCATCCATCGCAACCTACTTCCTCCAGGAAGCCCACTCTGATCTCTCACCTCTCAAACCTGGAGCACACATCGCTGTTTCAGGTGGGCAAATCTCACCTCCTCCACAGGACCAGGACCTTCCACATGCAGGGCCAGGCATGTGTCAGATGCTCAATAAATAGGGTGGGGGAATGGAACTGAGCAGTCCCTAGGACTAACTCCCACCCAAACGCCACCCAGACGCCACTTTTCCCTTCTGCTTCCTAGGACGGGGGACCAGAAAACGGGGCGGATCAGGTATCTCGGTGTCTCGGGGCCTCGTCTCCAGCAGAGAGGCTCACCTCTGCACAGCTGCATGGACGAGGTGCAGGAGGGCAGTGCAGTCCTTGCCCCCGTTGAAGCCCACGCAGAGCTGGGTGAGCCTGTACCGAGCCAGGGCGGTCTCAATGGTCTGCAGGGCACTTGCCACCTTTTTCCCTAGAGAGGACCCTGCCAGGCAGGTAGGGAAGAGGCCATCACCAATCCCATGTGACACATGCAGCCATGATGCTGTTGCTTAAAACCCTTCAGTATTTTCTAGGATAAAGTCCAGATTCCTTCATGCTGTCTACGAGGCCGGCGGAGTCTGCTCCCTTCCCGCCCGCCATTCAGCCGCTTCTGCTCTCAGTGTCTCCCCCTCCAGGGTCCTGGTGTCTTTCCCTTCTCCTAAACCCCCTGCTGCTTCCTCTGTGCCTCTCACACTGTGGGCCCCACTCCTGGTCTGGCCAAAGGCTCCATCATGCAGCTTCTACATCACTCGCCCAGAGAAGCCTTCTCTGACCCCAGAGCAAGGCCGAGCTCCTGGCTGTGCCGCCCCCTCACACTGACGTCTCATGCATCATTATCTGTTCGAAGTTTACCTTTCCTATTACACTACTTGTCCATGGAGTGGGTGTACATCTGTCCTATTGAGCTATCTCCCCAACACCCAGCACAGTGCTGGTGAAGGTGGGTACTCAGTATTTGTACATCTGTCCTATTGAGCTATCTCCCCAACACCCAGTGGATACTCAATATTTATCGGGAGAGCCCTAACCGTTTGGCTCAGTGGATAGAACGTCGGCCTGCGGACTGAAAGGTCCCAGGTTCGATTCCGGTCGAGGGCATGTACCTTGGTTGCGGGCACATCCCCAGTGGGGGATGTGCAGGAGGCAGCTGATCGATGTTTCTAACTCTCTATCCCTCTCCCTTCCTCTCTGTAAAGAATCAATAAAATATATTTTAAAAAATTTATCGGGAGAATGAATGAATCAATTGTCGTCATCTTCTACCTTCTCCTAGACCTAGGGTGGCACCTGTGGGTTGGTACCTCTGCCCCCCCCTCCCCCCCCCGGAAGCCCCTACCTGACTTGGCGAGTTTGTATACAGCCTCACTGGCCTGCTCCATGGCGTTGGGTACGTAGGGAACCAGCGATCCCCGAGGAAGACGTGCGGTCAGGTAGGCCAGGCATTCCTCCAGCGGCCCTTCTTCCTGTGAGTCCAGTGTCACCTTCACCTGATAGTAGTTGCTTCCCCAGTCAGGGTAGGAACCCAGGCCAAGCCTGTGTCCAAAGTGGGCCTGGGCCTCAGCCAGGACGGGGGCGATGGAGGCCTCGTCAGCGGCCACATACAGCTCCCGCAGGTGGAACTGAACAGCTGTGTTTTGAAACAGTCCCTTCAGCCCCTCCAGCACCCGCCGCAGCAGCTCTGGAATGCCCGGGAAGAGGTAGACATTGCGGACCGAGACCAGTGGGAATTTGAAGGGGCGGCCGGTGTGAGGGTCTGTGCCGTAATGCAGGCGGGCAGAGGAGGGCACCAGTGACAGCTTCTCCCAGCCCTGCTTGCCTAGGGCCTGGATGGCGGCCTGCAGCTCAGGGTGTGGCTTGAGCTCATCCCCAAAGGCCTGTGCTACTGCCTCAAAGGTCACATCATCATGAGTGGGACCGATGCCCCCCGCCGTGAGGACATGAGTGAAGCGGCTGGAGAAAGAGGTAATCTCGGCAGCGATGGTGGCTACCTCATCGGGGACGACAGAGACTCGGCACACCTGGACCCCCAGGGAGCGCAGTGTCCGGCACAGGAAGTAGGTGTTGGTGTCCTGAGTGTGTCCCTGGGAGATTGGAGATGGGGAAGATGAGCGTCAGTGCTGTGGGAGGAAGGACAAAGGGGGCAGGGATGGAAGCCGCATCTGCGTGATGGTGGGGCACTCTGCTCTCCGGGGGATGCCACCTCAGGCTGCCAAGAATTCTGGACTGAGCACCAGAGCGAGACGATCCATGTCAGGGGTCCTCAAACTTTTTAAACAGGGGGCCAGTTCACTGTCCCTCAGACCGTTGGAGGGCCGGACTATAGTTTAAAAAAAAAACTATGAACAAATTCCTATGCACACTGCACATATCTTATTTTGAAGTAAAAAAACAAAATGGGAACAAATACAATATTTGTATTTGCATGTGGCTCGCGGGCCGTAGTTTGAGGACCCCTGATCCATGTGAATGGAGTCAGGGATGATGTGATATATCTGGGGCCTCCTTCTCTGCACTGTGACCTTGACCTCATCCAGGTTGATGAATTCGGTGATCCATCCCATGTGACAACTTCTCTACTTCCTCACCAACCCGGACAGTCTCAGTCCCCTGGCGTCAAATGCTTACTGGGCATCTTTACCCTAGCCCTGGCTGTTATTGGCATCCCCAGACACTGTCCACAGCCAGTCAGGCCCTTTCTGCTGTCAGCTCCACTTCTGAAATACGTCCCCATCTGCTCTCTTCTCTCTGTCCCAACTGCCACCAAGCAGGTCTTTGGCACCTTTCACCTGAATAGTTGCAACAGCCTCCTGGCCAGGCTCCCAGCTCCAGCCGCAGGGCTCTGCCTGGTGCCTCCTGAATACCCTTCCTAATGTGTTACTGTGATTGCATCACTCTTGGACTTAGAAGCCATTTGTTGTTTCCAACCATATACAGAATAAAGTTCAAATTCTTTTGCAGAATATTTGAGGCTGTCTATGGTATATATACAATCTTCTTGCCCAGCCCCATCTCCACTATTGTTCTCCAGAGGTTAGTGGTTAAGTGGTTGCTCTGGAGTGAGAATCAAGTCCATCTAGCGCTTCCTAGCTGTGTTACTTGGGGCAAGTTTCTCAACCTCTCTGAGCCTTAGTCTCATAATATATTAATTAAGACTTATAGCCCTGGCTGGTTTGGCTTAGTGGATAGAGCATTGGCCTGTGGACTCAGGGGGCCTGGGTTTGATTCTGGTCAAGGGCACATGCCCGGGTTGCGGGCTCAGTCCCCATAGGGGGTATGCAGGAGGCAGCTGGTCGGTGATTCTCTCTCATCATTGATGTTTCTATCTCTCTCTCTTTTATATGTGTGTGTGTGTGTATATATATATATACACACACATATATATATACACACACACACATATAAAAGTACCAATGTCATGGGGTTGTTGTGAGGATTAGTAAAATCATATATATGATGTAATAATCTCACTGCCAGGTCCTAGTAAGCATTAAAAAAATAAGGATCACTATTACTATTATAAAACTGATGCCTACCATGACTTCCCTGATTATTCAGAAGGGATCTCTCTCTTCTGGTACTTTCCTTCTATCCCACCCACTCTGCTGCGTGCCTTGGATCATTCCTCAATTAGGTTGGATTTAACTTTTAAGTAATACATGCACCTATACCTCCTTCGCATGCTGACTCCTTGTCATTTCTGTAGAGCCCCTCATCCCCATACCATACTGCCTGGCAAACTGTAGAAACATTGCTGTAAGCTTTTCAACGGAATAACAGAATGAGGGTCACTTTTCCTCCACCACTCTGGACTCACCCCAGAATCCTGGGGCAGCAAGGGGACCCCCACCCTGGTTCACCCTCCTTCAACACAATGTGGAGCAGACTCTTAAGGACAGGAGAACGCCCCGCCCTCCCCCCTCTTCTGTCCCAGACACACCTTGAGGATCTCATCTCCAACAATGATGATGCCCGCCGTCACGCTGCGCCCTGGGGGAGGGGCAGAGGCCCTAGATGCCATGGTCCTGCCTTCTCTGCCCCTCTGCAAGGCCCTCCGGTAGCCACCCAGACCCCCAAATAGGGGGCGCAAGCACGGGAGTCCCGCCAGATCTAAAGGGCACTGGGGGCCATAGCCTGGGAACAGGGGGTCCGGGGTCGAGGCAACCTGGAGGAGCCAGAAAGGAAAATGGGGGAGAGCAGGAGGGCATGGTCTTCCTCACCAGGCCCTTGACAACTGACGCCTTTATCCCTGCCTCTTTAGTAAACATGTTCTCAAAATCCAGCCCATGCCTCTTTTAAATGTTTTCTAAGCTTGGCTCTAGTCTTAAAATGTCCTGTTCCAGCTACCACTTTAAAAGGTCTAGTGTCCGCCGAGCTCGGCTCCTCGGGTCTGCTCTGTCTTGGGCAACTACACCTTTAAATGTCTCTTCTCTTTGGGGCACCTGTCCCTTTAAATGTCTACCTGCTCCTGGGACTTGGGCCCTTTAAATACGTTCCCTTCCTCCACCCAGACCAGAACTCAGCCGCCTTCTTCTGCAGGCTTCCGCACCCTTTCTAGCCCGAATCCCACCTCTTCCCACCACTCTCCTGACAACTGAGTTCTCTCAGGTTCTCACCTGCTTCAGCCCCTTCACCAGGTCTTTCCCTCTCTCCTTTCCTCTTGTCCCAGGACAGCTTCCGTACTCACAGTCCCACCTCAGAGCCACACTTACCGCATATTCATTGGTTATTTGGGCTGTCGCTCAGACTACCTTCACGTGTTCATTGGTGAAGTCGACTGTCACTCGCGAGCCTTAGCCAGCGGGCGGGAGCAGTGCCGGGTTGTCATTAGCGACAACCACGTGGTTACCCTTTGCCCGGAAATGTGGAGGCCGGGCTCAGGGGTTGGTGGTGCGGACGAGGAGGAGGGGCCTGGCAGGAGAGCTGGGGCGCGAAAGGAGCGGTGGTTGGAGACGCTCTAAGGATTTTGGGGTGCTTTCTGCTGTTAGAAATAAAGGGAGGCTTGACTTTAACCTTTGTTTTGTATTCAGATTCTCGCGTGCACGGCTGTTTTCATTAGCCATAACCCTGTTATTGGCCAAGGGGTCAGGAGTTGCTACTGGTGTCTGAAGGGATTTATTATAGCAGATGGAGGGACACCAATAATTGTCAGCATTGCCTGTGAGGTAGGGAGATCTTGGAGGTGAGCTTTGAGTGTGTAGACTTTCATTTGTCTCTGATATGAACAGTAAAGCTAATTATTTAAGCCTCATTGACAGGACAGAGCTTTGCCCCACCTTGCTCCAGATGTGCTTAGTTTAAGCATCCATCACCTGTTAACTGCTTTGCAAGTGCAAGTGATGGCAGCGCCTAGGGGGAGTGCCACGTGCCCACTTTGTACTACTCTCCTTACTCTCATTCAATTGCCTGTGGTCTAAAAGTGCCCATCAAACCTTAATGTTCTTACTATTCATCTGGGGATCTTGGGTGGGGCCTGAGATCTGTATTTAACAAGTTCTCAGTCATGATGATGCTACTGGTCTGTGGACTTTTTTTGTAGTAAAGGTTTAGAACCCATTCATCATTTGGAAGACTGCTGAACCACACCTGGTCGGCCTCATATGACTCCTAAAAACCCTTTAAGATAGATAGATATGATGTCTGCGTTACAGATGGGCAACAGGCTCAGAAAGGTGAAGGGATGCCACACAAAACACACAAAATAAAGTGAATGGTAGAACCAAGCTTCTAGACCTTTCTTTCTCAAGCTCTAAAAAAATAAAACCCTACTTGCCTAATGACATAAGCCACGTGCTTTATTATCTTGATGATTAATAAAGGTGATATTTTGGAGGTAACCCCCCCCCCCCAAAAAAACAAAACAAAACACACACACCCATTCAAACATCACCTCTGGTCCAATCCTTTATCAGTGGCTTCTCAAGCTAAGCATGCACCAGAATCACCTGGAAAGCTTGTTAAAATGTTGCTGGGTCCAACCACGTTGTTTCTGATTCAGTTAAGTCTAGGGTGGAGCCCAAGAATATACATTTCTAATGAGTTTCTAGATGATATTGATGCTTCCGGTCCAGGAACTACACTTGTACTGCTCTTGGAACAAACGGATAGAAGACAGGGAAAGGTGGTAGATTAATCTCCCTTACTTAGCACTACTGTTATTTTTAAAAGTAGAGGGTAAGCTATGATTTAGTGAAGTGTTTTCTTGAACAGCTAGTTTCCTGTTTTCTCAAGTTAGTGCTGTATCTACCTGCATAGGAATGCTTGAAATCCCCACATCCAGGCCACACTCCCGGCCAATTAAGTCAACACCTTTAGGAATGACTTACAAATCAGTACTTTTAAAGCTACTCCGAGGATCCCAATGCTCAGCCAAAATGAGAACTACTGAAAACTCCCAACCAATGTGCAGTGAAGAGGCCATAGGTGTGCCGGAGCCTTAGGCCAGGCAGGAACGGAGCACACTACCAGCCCCTGGCTGATGGCCTCCCCCCTTAACCTCGTGTGCCCTTCAAATACTGGGACTATATTAAAGGCAGCATCCCTGACTGTGGGAAACAGTTCACTTGTTTTGATGAGATGATGTTATCCCTATATAACCTCTACCTTTGGCCAGTAGTTAGATCAAAATATATTTCAGCCATGTTTGACAGCATGTCAGCTTTTAAGATTAAAGACCAGTTACCTGACTGGTGAAATAAACCTCATTATCAGCAAAGCTGAGCTTCATTATCTAAGTGAAGGGCGTATAATTAGAACCATATATTGAATGTGATGCTCACCCTGAGAGGGGGAAAAACCTTTACAAGCAGAGAATTAGATTATAAAAAAAATTCCTCTTTAATCAAGACTTTTAACATGAAATAGAGTTCTTGAATAAAATGGAAAGTTTCCAATACATTGAAACACAAATTCCCATACATACACCTGGCAGGAAAACAAAACAAAACAGCAAATTCACACAATCCCTGTTACAGCCATGGTCTCATTCTCAGATGTTTCCTCCATCTGCCACGTGTGTTCTGCTGGACACAGAACTCATCATGGCTTCAGGGGTCACACAGCTGAGGCTGCAGTCCACAGAGCACTCCTCGGCTGGCAGTGCTGCTGTTGGCTCTGCTCTGCTTAAGAAGCAAAGCAGTCACCAGCATATTTCAAACAGTGTATTTTAAACATCCTTTAAATAGCAAAGTGAGAAACAAGAAGGCAACATGTTATCAGAAAGCTGTTAGCAAGTGAGGACAGCTGAGTAAAGCTAGAGGCTGGAAAGTGGCTCGCCAGCTTCATTACTTTGGCTTCTTGGGCAGCGGCCTCCGGAACAGCAAGATGTGAGGTTCTGAAAGAGTGAGTGAAATCTAAGAGACAAACGAACACCATTCTACGCACAATCTATAGGGTACCCCACTCCCATTTCCCAGCTATCCCCCACTCGGACCTTGATAAGTAAATTAAGATTTATTTAAGCATATGGCTTTAGAAGCAGACCCATAAACCTGGCCTGTCTGCCAAGCTTAGATTTGTTAATATCAGTTTTTTTTGCTATGTTTGTGAAGCCCCAGGGTGTCCTTTATTAGTTTTGCTTGACAGCTTGGTGTCTGGTGTCTTATCAGGAAATATACTTTCCTTGGCTTATTTGGAACACATCCAAGAATTCTTTCTGATGGACAATGAAGTAGGGACCATAATCTCTCCCAGAGTATTATGTGGCCTTAAAAAGAGAGTGAATTAGGCACTAACGGTTTTTCAGTAACAGCTGGTCTCTGAACTTCCCATATATTTCACTCTATTTTTGGTCCAATTTTTCTAGATGACGGGTGGGGTAAGAAACCAGCGAACCACCCCCACCTTCCCCTTATTTCGTTGGGTTATGTGACCATCATTTCCTCAGTGAAACAGCCCTATATGGTTCTTTCAGCCATTGCACTGACCTGGTTCATGGATCATATAATGGACCCATCCCTGACTCTGCTGAACACCAAGATTCCTCCATTCAGATTCAGACATCAAATGGGTTTTAGGGACCAGCTTGGCTATGTCCTTGGGCAACATGACATGCCTGTAAACAGAAACATGGGAAGGTAGGAAATTTGTCAGTACTGGGTACAGTCTGTTAGGCAAGTGCCTGCATACAAAGCCAAGAGACAAAAGAAAAGAGAAACCAGTTTCTGATGGCAGGGAGTTAATCTTATTGTGGGATACAGGCAGCTAGAAATAAAGGCCAACTTATGTGAATCCTCACAAAAGTATATTTAAAAGTACTAATAACTCAAAATGAATGAGCACCTAAATTTCAGGCGCTGTTGATACACTGCCTTCCTGGAGCTCAGTCTTCTAGTTGATGATTCTAAAACAATACAATGGGGGCCCCACAGTACACAGGGTATTAATAATTGAAGGCGGTTTTGAACAGGATTGGTACGGAAGAGAAGTGATTCTTGTGAAGAAGAAAGGCCTAATATGTAGTGCTACGTGGAAGAGCCAGCACAAAGGATGAAATAATGTCAACGCCGAAGCCTTTAAAGTCTATTCTTCATTTCATTTTCCTAACTCTGAAGGGTTGTGCCATGAGACTTCTTTTGGGAAACTTCATGCTTTCCTAACCAAGGATAAGTCTCTTTTCATGGCCAAGAAATTATTACTCTAACTTGAATTGGGCTAACCCAGATAGACTTTCTCATGCTAAATGAAAATGTACTAGTAACAGATTTTTTCCCTAAAGAATCTGTTCTAGTCTAAATGTCTGAAAACAGCTAACAGTCTAACAAGCCCCTGGCACAAAGACTAGCTTCAATAACTGATCAGACAAAAAACAAAACCCCAAACCAAAAACCCCCACCAAAACACCAAAGCTTTTCTCTTAAGCCTAAATACCACTGCCAAGCCTTACACCTTCAAGGGTGGGCCTGGCGACCTCTCCTCCCTGGCCCTGCCATGTGTTCCCAGCAGTTCCAGTTAGCTCAGTTCAGGTGCAGAAGAAAACAGCTGAGGAGAAGGAAGTTAACTGGGTCCAGCATGGCCTGGGCCTTTTCCCACGGGCCTGGCATCAAGATGATTAATGTATTTATTTGTCAGCACGGGGGAGCTCTCCAGCCAGAGGGTCCAGAGCCCCGTGCTAGACTGGAGAAGAAACACAAGCAAGTTTCCATTTTACGGTCTTCAATTGAGAAGACAAGGTACACACCAGGAAGGTGTTTTAAGTATCACACTCAATACAATTAGTGGAATGCCAACATTTGTAGAACCCCTTCCGATTTCCTACTCTAGAAACTGTGAATTTAGGGTTTATCCAATGCAGACCCTGTAGGGGTTCCTTTCCTCACCGTCCGTGGCAAGTCGTATGTGCTCCCATCACAATCCCTACGTATCTATATCACACCAATCACTACCTTCTTCCTGACGTCTGTATTCCCACAGATTACTTTAGGTTTGCTGGAAGCAGACACCATACTCTCACCCTTGTACTTTAGTAGAATCTATAAACACTCCACGATTGTTTCCTAGACGAATCCCCTTCAAATATTTGAAGGGTATCGACTGGTTCCATTGTTAAGCCTTTTCTCAATGTTCCTGGCCAGTTTTATTACATCCCAGGTCCTCGAAGACCCCCTCCTAATGCAAGCCGGACAACCACGCCCCATTTTCATGAATTAATGAGGGACACTCGCTCGGTAACTCCCCGGGCATTGAAGACGCGAGGGAAATTCGAGCTCCGCCTTTGCCCCTGTTTCCCAGTGGGTTCCGTGTTTTATGGTGTTGCCGTGATACAAGCAGTCTTAAAAAGGCAAGTTCAACGTGCTCAATGCGGTTTACAATGATCCAGGAACCCCAAAGGGCGAAGGTGGTCTGCAGGCTAACACTCACCACGCCCACCTACACCCCCCGCAAGAGGGCTTACACGGAATTCCGTGCTGTTATGTACTTTTACACGCGTCGCCTACCCTTCGCGCATGCGCTTTACGCTCTCAACCACCCCCACCCCGTCCCGTTAACCTGCTGCGCACGCGCCCATTCTGCCTCTTCAGTCCTAGTTACTAACTCCTCGTGCCCTCACTTGTCAAAGCTCACCCCCTCGTTACGGCCCCCACGCCGGCACTAACCGGTACTCGAACTCCTCATCGTCGTATTTGTCCGAATAGTAAATTTGTTTGTGCGACATGATCGCTCTGCCTGAGATCGTCAGCCCCGCGCCGCCAACCTCCAAACAACTCCCAGCAGCACGCGCTCCCACCCACTTTGGCCTCACTTTCAAACACGCCGCCTGCACTTCCTATTGGTCCCTTCGATGTAAGGCGGGACAACTCCATCTCCAAGCCTCCTATTGGCTTACATTTGCTTCTCGTCGAGTCCTTATTGGAGCGCACTTGTTACGTTTATCAAGGACGAGCTTAGGTAAAAAATAGGCCTCTTATTGGCTAGAACTGCTTCTGTGAGCGTTCCCGCACTGCCATTGGCTGATCCCGGAAAGTGGGACGGGTGAAGGAGGGACGGTGGGGTAGAGGGTCAGGGGTTAGCGAGGCCGGAAGTGAGTGTAATAAAGTTTCTCCAGGGAGGCCTTCCCGGGGAGAAAGTTGGAGCAGCGACCTAAGGAGGCACTGGCGTGATCCAGAACCAAATCATCCCGCGGTGCGGTGCGGAGACTCCATGAGGCCCTGGTGAGTGGGAACTTTTTTTCCTCCTTAGGTGACCCACTCCTCCACCCCGGAACCCCTCTCCCGGGACCCTACTTCCGGTCTTCATTCATAAGCCCCGCCCCCTAAGACCCCCTCCCCGGAAGTCCCACCTCCCAGCCTCGGGGGGCTTTTTATCCCTGAACCCTGTCTGGTTTTCTACTTATTGTCCCCGACCCCACCCTGTCGCCCAGCTTTCCTGGAAGTCCCACCCCTAGACGTGCTTTCCAGCCTCACTCCACGAAACTCCACGTTAGTCCTTCCGATTCCCCGAAACTCCGCCTCAGCGCGACGGTTCCCTGCTGGCTCACAGCTGCCCACCAAAAAGCCTCTCTCCCGAAAGGGCAGAACCCTGCCCAAAGCACCACCGTCTTCGAATTGGCGGAACCACGCCTTCCTAGAGGCTCGGCCCTTCTAGGAGCCCCGCCCCTTCCTTAGTCCACGTCGGATTGCCCAGAGCCTGGCCTCCTAGAAGTCTCCAAAGCACGGGCCGTAGGACTGCCCTCCCTCGGGAGATTTATCCTTGTGGAACCCAGGTCTCAACCTCAGAAGTTTTGCCTTCAACCCCAGAAACTCCATCTGCTCATGTTTCCCTGTTCCTTTTCTCTCTCGGGCTTTGGGCTCAGTTTTCCTGCATGCTCCACCCACCAGGTGGGAAGTCAGAGTTAACACCTCTGGGTCTGAGGAGTGAGCGTAGAGACAGCCCTTTTCCTTTCCTGAACCCCCTTCCAAGGGTGGCTCCCCGAAGGGGGCTGGACTTGGGGTTTGGCAGGAGCGGGGGGAGGGAGGCTTGCTCAGACTTCTGGCCCCACTCCCTGAGTTCTCCTCCCCAGGACCCACCCATCCCAGGACCAGCTGTTCTGTCTCATACCTGTACCAGGGGGTTTGGGTAGGGCACTGATTTGACTGTGAAAGGAGCGAAAGTTTTCCACCATCAGAAAACGGTGTCTTGGGGGCGGGGGGTGTAAGGGGCAGAGACCTTTTTGCTGTTTGATTTTTTTTTAAGGGTTCTGCTCAGCCTCCACCACTGCTTTGGCCCTGACCCTCCCCCTAACCAGAGTTCTTGTCTGGGCATTCCTTCTGGTCCCGCTTGCCCAGCCTTCCTTTCTGGAAACATTCCTGAGGCTTTCCACATTTCCTGCTACTTCCCGCTCTTGCCTCCTCCTCCTCCCCGCTGGGCTGGGAAGGCGCATGCCGCTTCTCCCCACACCCAGTCGCCCGCCCGTGGACAATCTCCTTGCTTTCTCTGCAGAAGGAGCCCCACCTCCTCTTACTTTGCCCCCAAATGCCCACACCTGTTGGTCACTCGCTGCCTGTGGGTGCTGCAGGCTTCTGCAGGATGCCCGTCTCTAAAGATGAAGACACCCCGGTGTGTGTTTGCGTGTGTGAGGTTGTGGCAGAACCCTTTCCTCATGCTCTGGATGCCCGGGCGCTGAGCCTCGGGAAGCAGACGGAGAGAATCCCTCTTCCGCAGTGGGGGAATCCATGACAGCTCTCCTCTGCTGAGGGCCGGGGAGGTAACGAGCTTAGCACATCACATGGTTATTTGCATACTTTTATCTAAAGATGAAGACACCCCGGTGTGTGTTTGCGTGTGTGAGGTGGTGGCAGAACCCTTTCCTCATGCTCTGGAGGCCCGGGCGCTGAGCCTCGGGAAGCAGACGGAGAGAATCCCTCTTCCGGAGTGGGGGAATCCATGACAGCTCTCCTCTGCTGAGGGCCGGGGGAGGTAACGAGCTTAGCACATCACATGGTTATTTGCATACTTTTATCTGTTGAAGTAATTTAAGGATAGGTAATTCCGAGATGAGCTCAGGGGGTATATGTATTTTACTACTTCCTCTTGGGTCACTTTCCAACTTCCTCCATGGCCCCCTCACGCAGAGCTGTGGCAGGAAGCTGTGGGTGGGAAGAGTGGGTTTGGGATGGGTTCCCCGTGTCCAGCTGGGCCCGTCTTCTCTTGGCATTCCTTTCTCCTGTACTTGGCATAGTTTGTCTTCTGCCCCCTCTATCCCTTCATGGTCTCCCTTTCATGCTCCCACCTCCTCCAGCCAGACTGTGCCCTGGGTATGAAAGAACTGTGTCCCCTGGTGGACACATGGGCCCTCACCAGTCATCCCCGAAAAGGGGGGGGAGCTGACCTTGGAGTCAGTGCCCTGCCCCCCCTTCTACCCTGGACAGCTGGCTTTGCTAACCAGGCCTGTGGAAAGGGGGCAGGACAGTGCTTGTCTGTGGGCTACTGTTCCTGGCATCGTAGGTGCCACCAGCCCGCCCTCGGCTCCAGCTCCTCTCCCGGTGCCTCACCAGCTGTGCCCTTCCTCTTGGTCTTTCTCTTTATCCTCTGGGACCACTTTCTTCCTTTCCCCATTTCTTTTTTCTTTTTTTAAAATTTATTGATTTAGAGAGAGAAAGGGAGGGAAGGAGGGGGGTGGAGAGAGAGAGAGAGAGAGAGAGAAGACATCGTGTTTTTTTGTTCCACTATTTATGCATTCGTTGGTTGCTGCTTGTATGTGTATTGGGACGATGCGCTAACCACCTCAGCTCCCCAGCGGGCTCCTTTCCCCATTTCATCAAATTTTTATTGATTTTAGAGAAGAAGGGAGGGAGAGAGAAAAACATTGATGTTAGAGAGAAACATTGATCGGTTGTCTCCTGTATGTGCCTGGCCTGGGTCTGTGCCCTGACTGGGACGATGCTCCACCAACATATCCACCCAGCTAGGGCTCCTCTCCCCGTTTCTTTACTCCTGTTCACAGCTGTCTAGCAGAGGGTGCTAATGGCCCAGGCTCCCTGGGGCTACCACCCCACTGTGTGATGGGGGTGGGGGTGGGGGTTTGTGTTCCATCTAACAGGAAGGGAAATGCTGAGCTCTGGGATCTCCTCCCTTTTCCACCCCAGCTGCCTCTGTTTCCTCCCTCATTCCCCCCCTACCCTCCCTCAGCTTCCTGCTCCCTCTGGCCTGCCCTTGTCCGGTTTGGACTGAGCCAGACCTCCTCTTCTTCCCCTCCTTTCCTTCTCCCCCTTCCCTCCCACCCCCACTTTACTCTTCCCCAGATACTAGTTGTTTGTATGGGGGTGGGGGTGGGCGAGGGTAGCTCTGCCTCTGCACGAGTTCTGGATGGGGGCCGTGGTGGGGGCTCAGCCCCTCCGAGCCTGTGAGTCAGCACTGTCTTCGGGATTGGCCTCTCCCTTAGTCCCCGCCCTTGGGGAGGAGCCTGGCAGCTCTGGGTCCAGCCTGCTCCTCTCTCAGCCAGAGAAGAGGCTCCACGCTGGGCGGGGATGGGGCTTGAAACTGTTTGTGTCTGAACTGGGGGAGCCAGAGGCATTGGAGCCACTGTCCCTCTTCCTTCCCAGGACCCTTGAGATCCCGGGGCCATAAAGGGCCACTCAGGCTAAGGGCCTGGGGATGCCCCCTGCCTGGCCCCCTTGCCCTGACTGGCAGGGGGGCCAGGCTGGGCTGCAGCCTCCCTCTCACTCCAGCCATGGATCTCCTGCCCCCCAAGCCCAAGTACAACCCACTCCGGAATGAGTCTCTGTCATCGCTGGAGGAGGGGGCCTCAGGGTCCAGCCCACCGGAGGAGCTGCCGTCCCCCTCAGCCTCTTCCCTGGGGCCCATCCTGCCACCTCAGGCTGGGGACGATAGTCCCACTACCCTGTGCTCCTTCTTCCCCCGGATGAGCAACCTGAAGCTGGCCAACCCGGCTGGGGCACGCCCGGGGCCCAAGGGGGAGCCAGGCCGGGTGGCCGAGGATGGGGAGGGGACCGCCGGGGCAGCCGTGCCAGACTCAGGCCCCCTGCCCCTCCTCCAGGACATGAACAAGCTGAGTGGAGGCGGCGGGCGCAGGACTCGGGTGGAAGGGGGCCAGCTGGGGGGCGAGGAGTGGACCCGCCACGGGAGCTTTGTCAATAAGCCCACACGGGGCTGGCTGCATCCTAACGACAAAGTCATGGGACCCGGGGTTTCCTACTTGGTTCGGGTGAGTGAACGTCCTCCCTCCCAGGCCTCTCCAGCTCCTCTGCCCACTCTGGCTTTGCTGGAATCTCTCTCTTCCTGCTCTTCCCCAGCAACTCGCTTGGTTTCAGCGTCCTTTTTCCTAACCCCGTCTTGCTCCTTCTCTGATTCTGCAGCCCCTTCCAGCTCCGCCTGGGTTCCC